GATTCTGTGACTCAACCAACTCTTTTTCTTATGCTTAAGAACCCTATGTGTGATGTTTAGATTTTCTCCAATTTCTAATAGGCAATTTAACTTTAATTTTTCTACATTAAGGCATTAATTACATTCTTAACTAAAACTAATTAGGAAAATATCAACATAATGTTTCTAGATGTTAAGCAAATTTAAGATCTACTAAAACTAACTGCTATCTTCTAAATACCAAGATATTATGGTATTTACAAAACTATACTGTTAACAAAAATTTTCATTATGGAACAACTAATGATTGTGGTCCTTATCAAAAAAACAAGCATTATCATCACAAACGTTTATTTTTTCTTTTTTCGATAAAAATCACTAGGCCATTATCTTTTTCTTTTGGACTCAATTTGATTTTTGAAGTACACTAAATGCAAGGAATTTGTACGTTTGCACTGGCCACCATGATTGTTGTCTCATTGTATTAAGTGTGACTTGCTTTTCAGCATGGGAAGATCATCTCAAGGGAGGAGCTTGAGAAGATCATGGCAAAAGAGAAGACTGAACAACTTGAGGTAATGAGATAATGAATATGCCTGAATTTACTCCTTTTTAGCACATATCTGTATGGTTTCATTTGCTATGCTCAGAGGGATTTTTCTTTTTCTTTTTTTTTTCTTTTTTGTTTCTTGTATCCTTAATTAGGTATGTTTTTATTTCTCTGGTTGATCGTTGGACTTCCATTTCCCTATGCTTTACTCGTTGTAAAGTGGTCGTCTCATATACAATCAGTTTTCACGTAAACATTTAGCTAATGTAGATAATAAAAATTTAACCGATTTGCTGCTTACACGCGCTTTTGCATATGCAAGTAAAGTGCATTGAGCTGGGGAAAAGCATTGGCCTTTTGCTGGTAGTTTTTGTATCCAATTGCTTGCTAGAGTTGTAACCATGCTGGATCTTGTTCTCTGTTACGTTTTAGATTACTCTTATTTTTGGGGCTAAGGAACTTTAGTTCATGGGCATATTCTAACTACAAAACTCTTTTCTTTTGGCATGGCAATGTCAATTCTGTAAGATATTATACGCTGAAGTGGTAATATCTTTTATTGGAGAAGGAGAATATGTCATTAAAAGGCACCAAGGAGGTGCCAGCCACAAACAAAATAATTACAAGACATAAATCTACAAGGTTCCCCAAATCTATGTTACCAAGCATAAGACACATATTTAACTATTTTGGGTGTGGAACAAGTGGTCCTGAATCCTTTCTAAAGGAGAGTAAGTGTCCTTAAAAACTCTCATATCCTTTCTTTCCAAATAACCCAAAGAAATGGATACATTAATGAGATTGAGGAATTTCTTTTCAGATCTACAAGTGCACATGCCCAACCAAGCCTAAATTTCTCATATTTACAGAATCCGAAAACTGAAGTCAAACTGAGAAGACCTAGAATAGAATTCCACAATCTTCTAACCTCCTAGCACCATAGAAAATGAGTGGGGGATTCCAACTCGTGAATGAATAAGGGGCAGTAATTGGGCATGGTTTTGCCTCTTCTCCTTTAGTTATCCATGCCTGAAATCACAATATTTTCTTTTTTTGTAGCTAGTTTCTACGGCTGATACTTCTCTTCAGTATAGTTTGATAATTTTTAATACTATGGGATAGGTATTTAGCTTATTTGAGAACTATAAAAATAGATTTATGATTAGTTTATGATTATATTTCTTATTCAACTAGAGACCTTTTATGTTATTATTTTCCTATTCAGGTATTCTAGTCATATTAGGTTATGTAGATACCTTATTGATTTCCCTTTATTGAATTTAGTGCCTGGCAATCTTATAATTGTCTTGTGGCCAATCCCAGGATTGTGGATTAGATTTATCTATATTTTTTTAAGTAAATTTCTCATTGATTTAGAAATTTTGTTTTTTATTTAGTTAGAAATCTAATTGTGTTCTAGTTTTCCTATAAATACATGAGTATTTCATTCCTTTTTTTCAGATGGTGAATAAAAGTTACTGATTTTTCCTCATTGAATTGAGTACCTCACAATCATGTGGTTGTTATTGTAGTGAATTCCTATGATTGTGAATTGAATTTATCCATCTTTTCTTTAAATTTTCTATCTTCCTAGACATATTCTTTACAAGTTGAATATCAAACGGAAAAGAAGTGATTGTTTCTGTTTTCTTAATGCTTTCATAGGAAGAAAAAACGTTATGATGGTTGGGGATGAAACACATATGTACATAAGAAACTTTTAGTAAAACTTTCTGGTCTCCACGTAAAATAATGTAAAATAATGGGGATGAAGCAGTCTTGCTCTCTCCCCATAATTTTTTCCGTTTTGAAATTTTCATTAAGGAAAACGCCATATAGCAAATCTTTTTTCTCCAAAGAGAGGCCTGTTGGTCCAATTTGTTTCTTCCTGTCATGTAATGGTTGCAGATGACAGACATGGATGAAGCAATGGCACAAGCTGTTGACATCGGCGAAAATGAGGTGAGTCCTACACCTCATTTAAAAGCGATTCCTTGTCCATGATTGTTCTTCAGCTCTTGACATTTTCTTTCAACGCGTTTTTGCCACTAGGATGAGGGAGACGATATTGAAGAAGAAGAAGAGGAAAAAATTACTCGAAATTGGAGTGTTCTAAAAAGTACTCCTGAGCTTCGAAAGTCCAAGGTGATTATGTTTATGCCATCCTTCTCGTGTTTCTTTGGTGCGCTTGTAGTTCTTAAGCTTAGATTGTTGAAACGAGCACTAGCATTAACTTTACAAGAATCATGGCTCAGATTTGGATGAGTTACAGTCATAAGAGAGCTACAGAGATCTTATAGTGAAAATTTTAAATTAGGCCTTTTATATTCAGCATATTAAAGTCACAAAAGAATTTGCTAAATCAATAATATTTGTAAACTTGTGGTAGGATACTTTGATTGAAACGTATCATACCCTGGTTGTATTAATGCTCTCTGAGAATCAAGGCAATTTCTACAGTACTATTATTTCAATTTGATATCAGTTTCTTTTTCCTCTACCATTCTTATTCATCTCAAGCTTCTTCATGTCTATTTTTTTTACAGCCTAAACCGAAGAAGAACGACCCAATGTCTCTAGAGGATGCTGTAAAGGATTCAGAAAACTTAACTGATTTTCTCATGGATTTTGAAGAAGACAAGTGATGCTTCTTGTATTTGTGCACGGGCGGAAGGAACTAGCGAGTACTGTCAGCATCACTATTACTAATCTCGTGAGTGAAAATGAACTTCATCAAAAGGAACATGTCGAAAAGAAAAAAAAAATGGAAATTTTGTGCTAGCTGAGAGAATGAATAATTGTGCTACTGTCCATTACATGTTGCATAAAACCCTCAATCTCTTTAGTTATGATTGTACAACCTACTTCAGTTCATTTCATTCTCTCTAACTTCTTGCCATATAATTCCGAGATTTATTTTCATAACAGGAAACATGTTTCTCTCTGCAGAACGGTGATTATTTGATATCTAAGCTCCGATTATTTGCAATTGATAATTGACTGAACATCTTCTTAAGTGACAATAATAGTTTATCTTGGTGAAGAGTCCGAGTATTTCTTTTTTTTTTCTTTTTCCGCAAGGTTCGAAGCCAAGCACGAATTGGTAGGTTATCCTTGCATCTTCTCCACACGAGGTGTTTATTTTTAGGGAGCAAAGAGTGTGTCAAACCTTTAATGGGTCCGATCAGGGGAATAGGAAAATTGCGGGAAAGTTCTCTGCTTTGGGTGCAACGGAAACCACAAACATTTATCTTGAACAGATGAATGCAAATAACAAAAGGAGACTAGGCTAGCAAATCGTGCAGATTTCTAGATTATATGTGGATTCCCTTTTACATGTTTTATTCACGTTTTTCTCATTTTCGATCTGTATATCGTGGGTTTTAAATGGGTCTTCTCTACGATCTTCGTGGTGCTACAATCTTTGTTTATGGGAAGCTCAAATACGCGAAGTTGAGCCTTCATGATTTCCTGTTCATATAGAACAAGCAAGATGTATTCTGATTTCACCAAATAATCTCCATTTTTGGTGTAAAACCATATCAATCTCTCATGGAAAACTAGGGAGGGAAAGAAACTAGAAGTAACTTTTTAAGTTAATAGTAAACATATGTGTTTGACAATCCTTGTTCACCATGATAATTTAATCAACTACGTCTATATATATATATATATATATTATATTATTTGATTTATTTGTATTCTATATTACATAATTGATTATATTTATTTTTAGTTCTATGAATTACATGAAATATATATATATTG